GAGGGAATGTGTCATCCTGAGACCCGAACCATCAATGGGACTAGCTGCCAGTAGAAGTCATGGCTCTAGGCCGCGGCGCCGCGGGGTGAAAGTGAGCCGTTCACTCACATTTTTTAGTAAACATCGGAGCAAAAAAGTAATTTTTACATGGCATGCTTGAAACACGAACCGTTTAAAAAGTTATTTACCGAACACCATGAAAATCACACCATTAACTAAAAATGTGTGCCGCATTGACTATTCGAAGTTTCAGTGTTTTATCTTTATCACTTTCTGAGAAATATTGATTTAAAGTTGGGAACGTTTTTTCTGGGCCACCCGGTATATCGGCATTAGATCTACCGGAATTGTAAAGGTCTTTGTTGGTCAGGCTAACGCCGTAGGCAATGCAGCACACTATCCTAAAAGATAAATTATCACATAATTGTTGTCATTTTGACCATTTTCACAAATCGGCGTAGGTATACCTAACTGATGAACCACAGTAGATAGAGGGTCACAGAACTCAGAAGCACAGTAGATAGCTCTTTCAAAGCTCTTTCGCTAGCATGTCCTCAGTTGTGACCTCAGGTCAACGGTTTATAGCCCACAGATGACAAAACGGCGGTGAATAGGCATCGGATATAATCGGATATATCATAACAGACATGTGTTCATGGATGATTGCAAGATGTTAATACAATACAATACAATACAATACAATACAATACAAAATAAACACCAAAATAGAGGAAGCTGCTGAAACAATTTTTTCTCACAATTTTTGCAATGACTTTGACATCAACAACTTTTTGCTACCATAATGTTACTTTCTTCGAGAAGCATCGAATGAATAATAATTTGACCTGAAAAGGTCAACTTCAAATTTTGCCCTCAGGTCAGGCTAATGACCTGACCGGAAAAGATCATATAACGTATCAATCGATCTGTATTGATGGCCTAAATAATAAATATGTCTCAGGTGGTTTCATCGATCTATATTGTTTCCATCAACAGTTCTCGTCAAAAAGCTGCTGGTGACCTTTCATGACCAAATATGACCTTTCAAGTGAGCAACGGCCATCAGCAAGTGCACCCTGTCCATTGCATATGGATAGATTGGCCACGTTTCGGTTAATATCTTGTGGCTCTGACGTCTTGTTAAAAACAGGAGGCATTTGCACTTTTCCTCATTGCCTTATAAGTTGATCTTGACAAGTTATCCCCAAAACCAGCGCCTCGACCTTTGAGTCTTTGACCTGACCTCAGACATATGTGGTAGACCCGAGACATTGAAATTGGGTACAAAACAGTCGCTGCGTCTCGTACTGGCACACACGCTCATTTTTTCAGCTGTGACTCGATTGGGGGCTAAAAGGTCCCGAGGTTGTACTATGGGGATCCCAGGCATGGCAGGATCGTAATTGGGATTTAACCCGCGCGGGGCTGGGGGGGGGGGTAAATTTTACCCCCCCTCGCGAATTTTTGCGATATCTCAAAAACGGCGGCGCGCAGCGCCGCCAAACTTTCAGTACCTTTTCTTACATCAATTTGACACGTTCCCTGAAAATTTGAGCGAAATCCGTCGGAAAATTTTTGAGAAATTGACGTTTTAGTGACGTCATGTTCGCCATTTTCGCCTAAAAAACGGCAAAAGTTCAAACGCCGCTAGCATCTTCATTTTTAAAGGAATCAAGACGTAACAAAAAAGGTTATACGTAATTTTACTGTGTCTATCAAATGGCTATCTCGGTTTTTTGAAAATTTTGGATTTTGGCCTAAATTTTTTCAAAAAACTGAGTCTATCGAAAATTTTGAGTCTATCGAAAAAACCGGAATATATGTCAGAGAAGTGGTCTATGTGCACCTACATACCAAATTTTAGAAGAATCGGTTCAAAAATGTGGGAGTTATTCAAAATTTTATGACGTCACGACACAATTTTTTTTGAAAAATGACTTTTTTGGAAGTTCTAGACCTCGTACGGAAACAAAAATAGCACCATTCGATTCGCCGTGAAAAACTGCATCAGATAGACACCTTTTTAGGCCTTAACAACCAACTTCAAAATTTGACCTCACTTGACCTGACCTTGACCTGACCTCGACCTGAAATTTATCCAGAGGTGGTCCATATCACTTATTGAGTGTGCCTATTGAATTCTATGAGTAAAATGACCCATAAAACATGTGTCGCACATGCCCTTTTCTATATTTTGTTTTTTGGTGACCTGACCTGACCTGACCTGACCTTGACCTTGACCTCTGAATGATATTGTATGCAACGAATATTGTCTTGGTAGCCTAAGAACACGTTTTGGGCGATCAGTCTCAGTCCATGACTCCATTCTTCGGCAACTACGGTGCAAGGCCGATACTGTAGAAACTTGCAATTTGTACCCTTGACCTGACCTTGACCTTGACCTCAAACTTTAAATTAAGTACATGTTTTTAGTAGTTCGTAATGAGAGCTTTCGATTGGCGTTTGAATTTTCCAAATCGGACCATTAGTTCGGGAGATAACAGGGGGGGTAAAATTTACCCCCCCCCAGCCCCGCGCGTTCGGCTGGAGACCCCAGCCCCGCGGCATATTTACGTCTGGACAACGAGTTGCGTTGGAGAGGACGGAAATAGTGGCGATTTCAGGACCGCAAGAATGGACTGCCATTGGAATGATTCTTTTTGAAACCGTGCACTGTTTTCGGCCGGAATTAAATAGTTACTACAAAATATTTTTTTGATTACGTTTCCACCAAGAGTGAATGCCATCAGGGCTAAATTTTTACTACTTTTGCATTTTGTCAAGAAGCATATAGTGCTGTTATATTGCAATTTTTGCGCGTTTGTTACAAAATATGAAGCGAATAAGCGTCAGTGTTGCTAATTGCTCTTGTCCATCCACTAGAAGTTATTAAATATTTTGCTTTGTGTATTCCAAAAGGAGTGAGAACTATTTTATTTGTGCCTTCATGTCAGAATTGAAGGTCGATCATGAAATTTTCAAGGCAGTTTACAAACAAGCATTTGGTCTTTCTCGTACCTATATAAGCAGTGGCTAAGAAGAAAAGGTTGATCAATCCTGAAGTTCAGTCATCGTACCTCAACTTCGCAGCAAGATCCCCAAGGACAGAGGTTATATTGTATACCTGTCCCGTAAATCAAAACATTTTTGTGCCTGCAAAGGCTTAAGCCATTTGTGGTGTGTTCGGAGTGAGGCTATATGGCCGTTTTTGTTGTATGTTTATGTGGAGATTGAATATAACTGTGACCCTTTGCTTGTTTGTATACTTACTATGGTCAAACAGGGAACAGCACATTCACATAACATACTCACCTAGCACCTAACTCATAGCTGTAGCCTGTACCCTGCAGGATCTGTACTTGTTCATGTCTCGAGCATTAACAAAGCACTTAAGTAGCTTTGTAATCATTTCCCACATTTTCTGAGCATCTAACACGACATACAGCAGTGCAGAGCAGCTTTAGAGAAGAAACACTTTAAATGCACAGACTCACACCAGCCACCCAATGAGCCAGTTCCTCAGTTGACTGTTTCCCTGGAAGCAGCTTGGCAAGGTGAGCTAACTATAGGCAAGTTTAAGGTTCGCAGGTAAGATTGAGTTAGGGTGAGTACCTACCTATAACTGGGTGCTTCTGCTATGCAGGTCTTGGGTAAGGCTGCAAATATGTGTGATGATTGAGGTTAGGTCAGCTGTCAGGTTATTCAGGTATGCTCATTGCTCAGGTCACATTTTTACGGACACTTGGCAAATTAAAAAAACTAGCATAACCTAATCTAAGCTAACCTGACTAAACCTACACAACTGCTGACTATAGGAACTAAGCACCTACCTACTTGTGCCTACAGCTCATACCATGTCAAAACTCAAAGTAGAGTTCCTTGGTGGAAGATTACCCTCAGTACTTTTTATCCCAGCCCTGTGAAGAAAACTAATACTTCTAAGCTCTGAGTCACTGCTGGCCATCCACAGGAAGAAACGCTGAGACTGAGAGCTTTGCCATTGTATATTGGACCAACAATCATGAATCACTATCATGAATGACTATGAACACATCATATGATCACATCGTTGCATGGATTGTCACATTGACAATTTTATAACAATCCTTTTTTCAAGAAATACAGTAATGATTAACATCAAAATCAACATTAAGTGGATTTGGTGATCCAGGCTTTCTCCTCCAGTTGCAGTAGCATTGGAATGATTGCAAGTTTCATTTGCCAGACACTGAGTACCTGATGCACATTACAATCTGCACAGCATCTAAGCATAGTAAAGCTGCCAAAGTCCATTCATTCTAGATTTTTAACTTGATGGTTAGCACTAATTTATCTTGCTGTTGTAAGTTATCATTCAATATTCATACCAATACATCAATATGCACTCATCAGTCAACATTTTCTGGCATGATCCTCCTCAGCGTGCTCTTCAGTATTGCTCCAGGATCTGCAATATTATAGCTTGTTTTCGGCCAATAAGCTCTTTTAATTTTACTTTTTTTGCTGATATATGAGCCCGATCAACTTGCGTTTATCAACCAAAATTTAATAACTTCAAGTTCATCTTGATATTGCTCAGGAGTCAGGACCTCTGTCAGCCTCCTGGATACTTCAGATTGTTTTCAGTCACATGCTTCTTAAATATGATATAAGTCAATCTTAATGGATCCAAAACATCCAACAAAACGACGTACAAGAGTACGGAAACCACCAGATAAACTTAAAAAGCGCCTTGGAACAGAGCCAAGTCGTCCTCCATTTGCTTGTTTACAATGATTGTAGTGCTGATGCATTTTTAGGACTCTGAAGGTCGGCTTATAAAAATGAAACGTTTTTACAAAAGTTGTAAGGCAAGTAATATTTACCTGAAAGAACTAAAATATTCAAAAGCCAAACACTATGAAATACATGAATCGGAACAAAAAAGTAACCCAAAAATCCAGCCTAATCACCGGCTCCTAAAACTGCAACAAAATCAGCACTTTTCCCCGCAACTCGTTGTCCAGACGTAAATATGCAGCCCCGCGCGGGTTAAAATTCTGCAGAGATCCTGGAATTGTAGCCTTTACGGCGGTGGCCCTGGAACACGAGGGACGGCGCGGGCGGTCAAGGAAGGCGATGGATACCTAGTACCTACGTCCTGCTAATTGAAAAACGTGTGAATCCGTTGTGCTGATTGGCCATGGAATAACCCTGTCTGCAGATGACGCCTGCTCGGCTGACGAGCGGAAGAAGCGGCCCCGGACGGCGTTCACGGCGTCCCAAATCAAATCCCTGGAGACCGAGTTTGAGAAAAACAAATACCTGAGCGTCAGTAAGCGGACACAGCTCTCCAAGCAGCTCAGTCTGACCGAGACTCAGGTGAGTGTCGCTGGGAAAACGGAAATCCATTGCACAATGTCGACCAGCTGACCGCGCCGAGGTCACGTCAGGTAACGTCAGCGTCAGCCGTGTGAGCTGTGAACCACACGAGTGGCAGAGTCCTCCACAGAAAGCGGTGGGTATGGGTGCAGCCAAACGAGTGGCAGAGTCCTCCACAGAAAGCCGTGGGTATGGGTGCAATCATTTAATATCAGCCGTTCTGGTGCAGCCTCATGTTCGCCGGGACCGCATCTGACCGTGCGCTGTTCGCATTGTTCAGGGGGTATGTCATGCATCGCGAAATAATTGCTGTGCTGATAAATCTCCCACTTTTCAGATAAAGATATGGTTCCAAAATCGCCGGACCAAGTGGAAGAGGAAGCACACCAACGAACTGGAGATGCTGGCCCAGCAGTACTACGCGCACTTGGGGCTGTACGCGCCGCGGCCGGTGCACCCCGCCGACCGGCTCTGGTGAGTGACCTCAGTACTCACTACTTACTACACACATACTTCGCCGACCACACCTCACCTCAGACCACCTCAGCGCCCACTATACACACATGACACATACACACACCGCCGACCGGCTTTGGTGAGTGACCTCAGCACTCAGTGGCCGTCCACTCTGACAGAGTGCTGCAGCCGAGCATACACCAACAGACTAGTGACTACTTTTGCAAAGGGAGACATCGTCGCTACTCGCTTCCATCAAATGACGTTGTTGGAACCGACAAAGATACATTTTTTTAATCACGTGTGACTGTCCGTGTGTCGACAGGCTGGTGTCCCAGGGGCTGCACCCGCCGGTGCCGCCGCCGCCGGCCGGAGGTCTGCTGCCGTCCATCTACTCCGCCGCCGCCGGCCGCCTGCTGCCGCCACCGCTACCGCTCTCCGCCCCAGCGGCCCGGCTGACCCCACCGACCAGCTCAGCGCTGGAGGAGGCGCTCCGCCGCGGCCTCACCCGACTCTACTCCCAGCCAAACCCCCACTCACCGCCCGCCGCGCGAGCCTCCCCGCCGCTGCTGTCCTTGCGCAATATGATAGATGGCGCCACCGCCGGCCACATAGGTGGCGCTGCGGTGTCCGCAATAGATGACGCTGCAATAGACCGGCCAGACGACGGCTCGCAGGACGAAATTGACGTGGTCGATGCTGATATGTTGTAGCCGGGCAGCGTGGCCCGAGGTAGCCTGTACCAGATTGGTCAGTTGGTAGTCTGAGACAAGAGCGCTGAAAAAGTCAGCCTTAACGCCGGTCGACACCAGGACCGAGTCTGCCGTCGGAGCCGCCTGCGCGCGATACTTGTGCGTGGCGAAACCGATGAACGAAATGTCGAGCACGTTTAGAAAGTGTACAAATAGCAGCTAATCGTAGGTATAGAAATGAAGTGAGTCGCCTGCTGGTAGGAATAACATGCTTCCATTGTCAGCCGAAAGCCAAAGCAATGAACTGTAATACAGAAACGCACTGACTTCTGATTGTGTCGTCTACTTGTTGCCAACAGGTCTGAGGAGAGTAGCCACTCAGCAATAAGAGTACATACAATAATATCTACCGAGACGAAATTTTTGCTGGGTGCTGTACGCATAAAGGTAGTTTGAAATGGTGGAGTGGGAAAATGCGAGCCTTTTTGACTTGCAAGTGGAGCTACGGCCTACGATACAAAGGTGCAGCCTGATTCAAGGCAGACACAAGGCAATTAAAGTGAATGGCCAGAATCGAGTGTCGTGGAGTGAACCGTTTCAGACATTAGGGCCTAACTTCACATTCTTTACTGATGCAGAGGAGATCCAAGAGAAGTTAATTACTTTACGAATGATAAGTTTTGGAAGTGTAAATAAATGAAAGGGTGCAAACTATAGACTCGTATATTCATCTAAATGCAGGCAGACACTATGTAGAACACGTTCAATTATCGTTTTCATTATTTGCCGAAGGTGATGGACCTACGACCGGTACCGTGGCGATCACACATCACTAACAAAGACTCGTCACCATCACAGCGTCTCCGCGACGACTCACTATAAAAAGACACCGATACCGAGGCACAACCATCATCGACCGACCACCGAGCACCTCTACACAAACGGACATACAAAACACGCGGTAGGTATTGCACGAGTTATCTGCGCCGGACGGCCGGCGGCCGGCGCGGGGGAGGGGGCGGGACTGACCGTCATCAGCTGGTCGGCTCCATACGGTGCAGCGGCTCCAACTCCGCTGCTGGGACGAGACGGCTGGTCTGGGACGGTCCGACGGAGGGTCCGTCTACGATCAGCAGTCCAAGGGGCAGACCGCAGACCCGTCTCCGTTCCGTCCTCATGCTGACTGCACCCGTGTCTCCGTCCCCCCGTACTGACTCCAGACCTGTCTTCGCTCAGTCTCCACTGCTGGCCTCACTGAGCAGTCTATGAAGATCCGAGGGCGCTCTGGCCCACCGGACACCTCACATCCTGAACACTCCGAATTTGGCGTCAGGGATGGGCGCGTTGAGCGCCGCTGACAGCGACAGGCCGAGCACGCGGCGCGTGTCCACCGGGTCGATGACGCCGTCGTCCCAGAGGCGAGCCGAACTGTAGTAGGGCGAGCCCTCGGCCTCGAACCGCTCGACGATGGGCGCCTTGAGAGCGGCCTCCTCGTCGGGCGTCCAGGGTTTTCCCTCGCGCGCCCGCTGGTCCCGGGTGATCTGCGCCAGCACGCCGGCCGCCTGCTCGCCACCCATAACGGAGATGCGCGCATTCGGCCACATGTACAGGAACCGGGGGCTGTCGGAGAAAGGGGAGGTGTCAGTCGGGGGAACCGGGAGCTGCTGGCCGATGGGGGGGGGGGGGCGCAGTCTCACAGAAGAGCAGACTGCAGAAAGGGAGAGAGAGGGTGGGTTAGTTTCACGGGGAACTACCGAGGTCGGGGGAGTTTGGTCAGTTGTGAGTCGGGAGACCGTAGAGCGACGGGTGGGTGTGGTGCGGTCAGGCTGGGAGAGAAGAAGTAAATTCAGAGGGGTGCTAAATCCCCCGGCACCTCATCCATCTACTGGAGTGGGGAGATGCTCTCTCCGATATGAAGGTCACAATGATGAGGCTAATTGGGTTTAAGGGCATCCGACTGTATCCCGGGTCCCACACTCATTTGCAGCTCCATTCACTCACACAATAGCTTACCTGTAGGCGCGGCCGCACATGCCGTAGTTGCCGGCGCCGTACGAGCCGCCTATGATCAGTGTCAGCTTGGGCACCTGGGCGCACGCCACGGCAGTCACCATCTTGGCGCCGTTCTTGGCGATTCCGCCGGCCTCGGCGTCCTTGCCCACCATGAACCCTGCCGGACGGACGGACCGCGGGGTGTGACGCGAGGCGGAGGTGAGAGCCCAACTACGGGAAGCAGTACACTTAGACGAGGAAGTAGCTAGATATAGCTGGACATAGCAAGAACACATTCAACTGCTGCCGGCCGGCCCAGATTTGACTCCCCACTTCCTATAATAAAATATCAGCAAAAAGAGCCATCACTGCCGGTAGGCCTGTCATGGGTGACGTATCTGCGACAGTTGTCAAGTGTGGGTACCACCCTGATGATAAGTATCGTAGTGTTAGCTGGCTGGAGACCACACCTCACTCCATCCCGACCGGCCTCGTACCTGTGATGTTCTGCAGAAAGATGAGCGGGATCTTGCGCTGGCAGCAGAGCTCGATGAAGTGGGTGCCCTTGAGCGCCGACTCGGAGAAGAGCACGCCGTTGTTGCCCACGATGCCGACCGGGTAGCCGTAGAGCCGGGCGAAGCCGCACACCAGCGTCTCGCCGTAGCGCGCCTTGAACTCGTCAAACTGAGAGCCGTCCACCACGCGAGCAATCACCTGAGGGGAGACGGTGACCGTCAGACGTGCTGCAGATGTGTAATAACGATACACAAAGCGCAATCGCCTGACGGAGACGTGGGTAGGTAATAGGTATACATATTACATAGTGAAGCCGCTCACCTCTCGCACGTCAAAGGTCTTCATGAGGTTGTCGCCGACGATGCCGTAGAGGTCGGAGGCGGGCAGGCGCGGCTCCTCCGGCTCCAGCAGGGTGACCGGCGGCGTCTTCTGCCGGTTCAGGTTCCGCACTGAGCGGCGCACCAGGTGCAGCGCGTGCAGGTCGTCCACAGCGTAATGGTCCGTCACGCCGGACTTGCTGCGGGTGGGAATAGCGTCAAAACATTATTAATGTCATGTCAACTCAATAGTAATACCAATCCAGGACACCACGCCTACTGAAAAATTAATGCATACAATTCAATAAAACTCCTGCGCCTCGATTTCCGCTTTAAATCTCGACATGCTGTCGGCATCAGCCATTTAATCCCCTGTTGTACCGTTTCTGTGCCTGCGTTGTTCACGGGCTGTCGCGGTGTACTTTAGTGTTGGCATTGCTAGCATGTCGGTAGCGTTCCGACATTACCAACAACCGCCCCCAGTGTTCCGGGGTTTACCACCTGCCGCGGTGCCGCGCTGATCGGCGGCTCTCTCACCTGCAGTGCAGGTCGGCGCCGCCCAGGTCCTCCGCGGAGATCTTCTCCCCTGTTGCGGCCTGCACCAGCGGCGGTCCGGCCAGGAAGATGGTGCCCTGTCGCCGGACGATGACCGACTCGTCGGCCATGGCCGGGATGTAGGCGCCGCCGGCCGTGCAGCTGCCCATCACCACCGCTATCTGAGCGAGGAGGGGGTGGGAGAGCCGTCAGACAGGGAGGGGTGGAGAGCCGTCAGACAGGGAGGGGTGGAGAGCCGTCAGACGGGGAGGGAGAGGGAGGAGAGGGAGAGTGCGGTCAGACGGGAACAACTGAACCTTTAGACAGAACGGGGACGGCTGAGCATTGGAAAGGGGGCGACCACGAACTCAACGATACAACCAGGAGCCAGGCCAGCTGGTGACAGAAGATATACCCAGTATGGTGATTGATGGGCGGGGCATATCTGTTACTGATCCTTCCTATAAGAACATAGATCACAGGAGAGTGTCACAATCTGCCCCACCAAGGGTCGACGAGCAGTGCTCCCTTGAGGACAGGTCAGCCAACCGACGGGATGTCGGGACCGGCCTGACGAGATGTCCCCCGGCGGACCGCTCATGGCGTTAACACCTCCCGGTCGTCTCACCTGCGGGATGTTGCGCGCCGACAGGTTGGCCTGGTTGTAGAAGATGCGGCCGAAGTGGTCGCGGTCGGGAAACACGTCGGCCTGTCGCGGCAGGTTGGCGCCGCCCGAGTCCACCAGGTAGACGCAGGGCAGGTGGTTCTCCAGCGCCACCTCCTGGGCGCGCAGGTGCTTCTTCACCGTCATCGGGTAGTAGGAGCCGCCCTTGACCGTGGCGTCGTTGGCCACCACCATGCACTCGACGCTGCGGGCGGAGGGGGAACGACAGTCAGTGTCAGCGCCGGGGTAGAAACCGGGGATGGGGGCCGCCGAACGGAATTCAGAGGGATGACAGCTTACCCATATGCACAAGAAAATGAGGACAGCGAGAGAACGACAGTACGTGGCCGTGCAGGCGTATTAATTGGAGGGGAATCGAAGTGACGGTGGCAACTCCAAAGAAAAGGTGGTACTGCCACACAGGGTGACGCTAGTGCGATTATGAGTGCAAGACCTGGGAGGCCAGCAGTGTGTTCGGCGCCGGCCCCAGGGCGCACCGACTGACCCGCTGATGCGTCCGATGCCCGTGATGATGCCGGCCGCGGGGACCTCCTCCGCGCCGTAGAGCCGGTGGCCGGCCAGCTGGGACAACTCCAGGAACGGCGAGCCGGGGTCGAGCAGACGCTGGATCCGCTCCCGGACCAGCAGCTTACCTGGGCAGACAGTCACAGTCAGTCACAGTCTCACAGGGACACCCTCCCGGACCAGCAGCTTACCTGGAGACATTGATCCAGTCAGCCGCAGACTCAGTTACAATCACACACCCGCCCACGACAACGCAGCTTACCTGACGGACGCAAAAATATTAAGGGTTGGATTTTTTACACACGATTCTCGAAGCCGCAACCGCCTTGTCCCATTTTAATCATACTAGTTCGAAGCTATTGCAATGATACCTATGCCTTTTTAATCGATTCAATGGAAGATGTTTCAGATCGATTTATTAATCTGATAATCAACAGTGCAGCAGAGGCAGCCATCACGTGCGGCCTCTCAGATGTGCACACTGACCTTTTGAGGTGTGTCTCTGAACGGCCTTCTCGCCGCCACCGGCCACGATTCGCTCCACGTGCCCGGAGAGCTCCGAGACCAGCGCGGACATGCGCTGATGGTTCTCCTGCAGACAGCAGAACAGCGTGAATACCAGGTCCTGTCCTGTCCGGACGCTGCCCAGACTTGTCCTAACCAGTGGACAGGCAGGACGACACTGCCCAGACTTGTCCTAACCAGTGGACAGGCAGGACGACGCTGCCCAGACTTGTCCTGACCAATAGACAGGCAGGGCACACGGCGTGAATGCAGAGGATGGTCGCAACAGGACAGGGAAATACAGCGTGAATAACGGGAAATGATAGAGAAGGGCACCAAAACAAAGCGCGGTGTAAACAAGTGGCCCTACAGAATCCTTCATACTGCTAGCGATGTCCCGACTCCCCAACACCATTTTTCTATGCGAACGTGTAGCCAAGTGATGAGAAAATTTACCCATTTGCTCACCTGAAACTGTTGGCTGTTCCTGTTGGGCTCAGTGCCGATAATGGGCGCCCCATCTAGGTGGTAGCTTCGGAGCAATCCAGCTGCCTGGTGGCCAGACGTCTTCCCGAACCTCCATCGCAGCCCCCGCAAAAGCAATGCCATGGTCTTCAATTAAGCCTACAGACAAACAAACTGGTTTATAATAGACGTAAAATATTAACTCAATAAAATGCTTAATACACGAGCAGAGTCGGAGTCTGCTGGGTCCTCATAGATCTGGTTGGAATTATAGGCGAAATAAGACACGCCGAAATCGACTTTTATCGACGGAAGATAAGTCCATGCTTTGGCTGGCTAAATCCATACTCTTACGTGCTTTTAGAGCATTAGGTAGAGCATTATTAGAGCATTAGGTAGAGCTCGTGAGCATTATTAGAGCACCTCTTTCTTCCGATCGTATATGATGCAGGAAGTCGGCACTTTTTTCATAATTAGGGCGAATGCTGGAATGGACGGATTAACAGGAGACCTGAATCTCACAGATTACCCTCGGGAGCAACTAGAGCCTGTGCTCTCATCACCAGGAGCACAACACCATAGGAGAGGTTCCAAACGAGCGATAAGACACGGTCGGATGATGTTATTCCGGTGTACCTACAGTCAAGGCCGAGCTAGACTGTCGCCTGTACGTGATCCTCCAGGACATAACCGTGCGTCCTGGTTTTATGGGGTTTGCATAAAATGGGTACGCAGACCAAGTTCAGTTAATACTGAGAAGCACCTTCCAAGCAACTGGACAAACAATGCTGATTGACATAGGCGGCGGAACTAGGGGGCACTGGGGCACCGTGCCTCCTTTGATTTTGGCATTTTAACATTAGCCCCTGCCCTATGGGCATTGCAAGGAGAGAATGGGACCAAAAGTTGGCAGTGCCCCCCTTAATTGAAGGTGTTCCACCGCCACTGCTGACTGACCGCACACATTCAAAATCCACCACTCACTTCAACAACTGAATAGAATCAGGATTCAGGACACTGCATGGAGATCGATAAGACCCAATCCTTGGGTGTTGAGGCCAAGTCACCTTTCAAAATTCTGCATTTTACAAGCATAGGTAAGTATGTACCATGCATTAGATTCATTCTCTTAACTATTATAGTGGTAGTGGATAAACAAACACTGCCCAAAATGTGATTGAATCATCTCCAATGCAGAACAAGTTGAAAAAAACAATTTAAAAATACAATGCTGCATATTAAGCTCAAGGTACAGCCCACTGCTAAAGTAATGTGCAGTTTTACCAATCTCAACGGATGGCTTTGACTTGCGATTTTTTAATGCAGAGTGATCGAAAAAAGACGTCAATAGATTAAGTTGCGGCTGCAAGAGTAACGATACAGGTTAGCTACATTCAAAGTTTCATTGTGGTCTGGCTTATCATTCCCAAGCTTCAGAAGCATAACATACCCAGCACTGAAACCGCACATTACTTATGCCGTGGACTGTACCTAGGTACAAAGCAAAACTCGTTGAATGAAGTCCACACATCAATTATCAAACAAATCAATGAAACTAGGTTATCACAAATCTTATTTTCGTCGATATTGATATTTGCATTTGATTCCGTAACCTTCACCCCTACCCTGCTAAATACGTTTATTACGTTACGCCACGACGTACGTACGTCCTCCTTTGCCATGTCAATGTAGCCCTGTTCAGACTTACCGGCGCGCCGCTAGCTAAAGTGTTGTTGATCCTATTTCGACAAATCAGCGATAGGCGTCGCCAGAATCAGCTCCCTTGAGCACAATCATCGGGCCTAAGGAACATAAATAAATGAGGATCTATTGCGCCATGATTGTGTGATTATACTGCTTCCAAATTTTACTATCTTTTTGGCTGCCATTTCAGTAAAGTTGCTTCATGGTAGTAAAGGAATCTTGGTTGCTTGTGCCCCTTCTACGTCGGGTGAACTATCTATGCACGCCACCAACTGACCTGTAGTACCGTAAAGTAAAGCAACTTCGATGGGTCCCACAAGTCTTATAGCCCCCAGCTCCTGTTATCTCAAACTGGTAACTGGTAAGACATACTTCAGGCTTGTGATCTGTTTAATCACGTTACACTCACAGCAATGCTTCGACAGGCCGACAGTCACAACGTAGCTTAGAATGATTGTGGTGCTGGTCTGCCGTATTGGTGGGTACTTCATCTTTCGGGCATTCCCGATACACGGAATACGGATGCTTACAAACCGAAAGGAAAAACTGGACCCTGGCGCAGTCAGACGTCAGATGCAATCATTGACACCAGGACCCTGTTTCACGGCGGAGCGCTGCAGTGCGCTGCGCGCGTCGGCGCGTTGGGTTTCCATGGCAATATCAACAAACTTCCCTCTGACGCTACGCTATGACGTCATCGCAAAGCGCTAGCACCCAAGCGTCTGCAGTCTGCACCATCAGCACGCTAGCAGCATTCGCACTCAAACTTCTGTTCTCTCTGTACTTGGTTCTTTAGGACCTCTGTTCCAAACGCGATTCATCATAAGCTAACGGATCGCACGCAACGTCATTCGAGTGACGTCAGAGGTACGCCTCAGCTCCCAGCGCGCTGCAGCGCGCGCAGCGTCGGGCGATGAAACAGGGCCCAGGCGTCTCGCAGGAAGCCGATGATAATAAGCGCTGCGCCGGCGTGTAACTAGTCCCTTGAAAATATCGATGCATTGAGGTCATTGAGGCCTTACGAGCATAACCTCTAGCCGGCTTTCACCTGTTTCGACCCATTTGTCAGACGCTGGCGCCTCAGTCATACAGCAGTTTTACTCCTCCCGAAGGCGAAGGACCGTGCAGCGTGCTACAGTAATTTTTGTGACATAGCCCATGACCTTACCCTCCAACTGAATGGCATAGTTCGCGTGCCGCCGCAGCCGATGTACCGATATAACGAATAGTGTTTGACGGATTTTCAAACAATCTGCAGTTACGTTCAATAGAGCTTACATATGTAGTTGCGGTATGACTGATCGCATGACCATGCTTCCAAAACACACAAATGCCGACAGGAAAAGACCTCTATCTTCAAACCATTTCTAGAAAAAATTGAGCTCACTTAACCCGCGCGGGGCTGGGGGGGGGGTAAATTTTACCCCCCCCCCTCGCGAATTTTTGCGATATCTCAAAAACGGCGGCGCGCAGCACCGCCAAACTTTCAGTACCTTTTCTTACATCAATTTGACACGTTCCCTGAAAATTTGAGCGAAATCCGTCGGAATTTTTTTGAGAAATTGACGTTTTAGTGACGTCATGTTCGCCATTTTCGCCTCAAAAACGGCAAAAGTTCAAACGCCGCTAACATCTTCATTTTTAAAGGAATCAAGACGTAACAAAAAAGGTTATACGTAATTTTACTTTGTCTATCAAATGGCTATCTCGGTTTTTTGAAAATTTTGGATTTTGGCCTAAATTTTTTCAAAAAACTGACTTTTTTTGGGAAAATGATAATAAAATCCAAAATTTTGAGTCTATCGAAAAAACCGGAATATATGTCAGAGAAGTGGTCTATGTGCACCTACATACCAAATTTTAGAAGAATCGGTTCAAAAATGTAGGAGTTATTCAAAATTTTATGACGTCACGACACACAAATTTTTTGACAAATGAATTTTTGGACGTTCTAGACCTCGTACGGAAACAAAAATAGCACCAATCGATTTGCCGTGAAAAACTGCATCAGATAGACACCTTTTTAGGCCTTATCAACCAACTTCAAAATTTGACCTCACTTGACCTGACCTTGACCTGACCTCGACCTGAAATTCATCCAGAGGTGGTCCATATCACTTATTGAGTGTGCCTATTGAATTCTATGAGTAAAATGACCCATAAAACATGTGTCGCACATGCCCTTTTCTATATTTTGTTTTTTGGTGACCTGACCTGACCTGACCTTGACCTTGACCTCTGAATGATATTGTATGCAACGAATATTGTCTTGGTAGCCTAAGAATACGTTTTGGGCGATCAGTCTCAGTCCATGACTCCATTCTTCGGCAACTACGGTGCAAGGCCGATACTGTAGAAACTTGCAATTTGTACCCTTGACCTGACCTTGACCTTGACCTCAAACTTTAAATTAAGTACATGTTTTTAGTTGTTCGTGATGAGAGCTTTCGATTGGCGTTTGAATTTTCCAAATCGGATCATTAGTTCGGGAGATAACAGGGGGTAAAATTTACCCCCCCCCCCCCCAGCCCCGCGCGTTCGGCTGGAGACCCCAGCCCCGCGCGGGTTAATAATCAGCATAAAAAGTTAACAATTATTCATCGATTAAATTGTACCACCTGAACATGGACGAAAATTAGCGAGACTTATGGGACGTATTCACACCACTTCTACGAAAAACAGACCGATATAGTTTGGAGACATGTATTGGATCGGCGTATCGCTCAGCGTTCGATTATATACACTGCATGTGTTTTTACTCATCACTCCACCATACCCGCAGACATCTGAAAGAGAAGGAAGCGCCGTCAGTTATCCACCTGGTGGCCGTTTGGAAAATTAACCCCTTTATGGGTTATTACTTGGACTGTTTCTACCCAAGAATGTCCCAACTTGCTTTGACTCAATTTCAGGCAGCCCCTAGGCCCCCAGCCCCTTTGAACACTCCCCTAGAGGAGTTTGGCCAAACCACAGCTAAAGCTGGTTGAAAAAGCAATGGCTTAAATAGCAACTGAAAGTTCAGGCACTTACATTTTACTTCTTCAGCAGCTGATGCCTAACCATGACAAACGGAACTGAGAAGCCGCTGCCACAGAACAGGACGAATCCCAGGGTGAGAGCAAACCTGTTCTTCACACTGAACGGCCAGTTCTGAAATAAAAAGAGGTGCAAGTAAATAATGGGGCTATTTAAAGTAATCTTGGGGCTATTTGACGTAGTTAACACATTCATAGGTACAGTAATTAGACGGACAATCTCTGGTCAATGTAAATTAACTGCGGTGTGTTGCAGAGATGTGGCAAAAACCCCCGCCGGGCCGGTGCTCGGCGCCAACCGCGCCGAGGCGGGGGTGTCACCCCCCCCCCCCCCTCCCCATCTAACTCGACTCCTGGGCCACGTACCTAGTGATACGCGGCAAGCGGTATTCGAAAGGGCGTATAAAATCATGACGATAATTTTTTGGTCATTTTTTAGGTCAGGTCACCAGACGTCAGCAAAGGAAATGTTTTGTCTATTTCTATATTTTTTTTCAACAAACCGGCGTATAACTCGGGAATTAATAGAGCTATATAGCGCCGCGGAAAAGCGCATTCAATTGCTCTTTTAACGCTCTTTCGCTAAAATGTCCCCAGATCTGACGTACGATTAACGGTTTAGCCAGCTACCCTACAGAGGGCAAAAACGTTTTTTGTTGATAGATCAGACTACAAATGCCTATTGACCTTACAAACTCTTAGCACACATATTGCTTACAACATTGAGTTTCCATGTACCTACCCTGTCCAGTGGTGTATTTGATAGCATTTTTTTCAGAAGGTATGGTTTTAGTTCTTAAGTAGGTAAATATAATCTACCTGACTGTGCCACTCAATCTCTGTTAGTGAACAACAAAACAAACCCCTTGGATGACCCGTTTTACCATAATGACAAAGTAGCACATAGCGGCTTAATGTTTGTTTCCTGTTACAAACTTTTATCAGGGCCCTGTTTCACCGCCCGACGCTGCGCGCGCTACAGCGCGCTGGGAGCTGAGGCGTGCCTCTGACGTCACTTGAATGACGTTGCGTGCGATCCGTTAGCTTATAATGAATCGCGTTTGGAACAGAGGTCCTAAAGAATCAAGTACAGAGAGAACAGAGGTTTGAGTGCGAATGCTGCTAGCGTGCTGATGGTGCTGGCGCTTGGGTGCTAGCGTTTTGCGATGACGTCATAGCGTAGCGTCAGAGGGAAGTTTGTTGATATTGCCATGGAAACCCAACGCGCCGACGCGCGCAGCGCACTGCAGCGCTCCGCCGTGAAACAGGGCCCAGGTCACTGACCAAATCAGGAAGATGCTGCTGCAAGTCTCAACTGCATCATTAATTGTCTGTGGTATCTGCCCAAATCTGCTGCTAGGAGACATATCCAAGAAGTCTGTTGTCAGTAGCAGGTAAAAATGTTTCAATCTGCTCCTATTAAACATTCAATGAATCTACTTCCAGGGGCAGCAAATTCAGGGATGGCAAAAGTCTTATGTATTTAAATATCCTTCTCAGCAATTGTATTATAAAAGCTTTGGTAGGTACCTAACCTAGCATATAGTCAAGCATCTCTACTTAATGGAAATTTACCAATTTCCTCATATTACTTTTTTGCTACAGTTTTATGAGTTTTAAGCATAAAATGATCAGAAAAGGAAATGATCATCAATTAAAAAACAATTCAACAGTTCATATAGCAAAAACTATTTTCCATTTTTGGTACAGGCTAAATACTGTTTGCAGCTGAAGCTGATCATGTGTCAACCACTCAATTTATGTAGGTAGGTACCTAGTAGTTAGTACAGAGAGCTGCATGCTGATTGGCTGAGGATTGGCGTATTCCACAAGTAACTGAACTGTGTTCTTGGAATTTTTCCTTAGAGGAATGTTTTACTCTGTAAGGGAATGATTTTGGAACTAAAACGTCATGACAACGAAGTTCTTTTAATGTGCAAACGAACAAAGAGACTTTGTGGTGATAGTCCATTTTGCCTTACTTTGTAGTACATAATTTTCAAATTCATAGACCACTTGGCCTGTATGTCCGTTCCAAACCAGCTGCTTAGCGTGCGGTAAATATTTACTTTGGGAGTGGGACGGCTCCTATTGCAACACTCTGGAGACCGCATGCCGCTTCACCAGGTCCCATGAGTGACCTCTGTTTTCACGGGCAGTTAAGTTGTCTGAGAAGTCATGTGAGTCCAGCTAAACACCTGATAGATAAAGCATCTGATATACTGCTATCATGTCATTGTGCCGCGCCTTAGTTGGTAGTAGAATGAAAGGGATGGCAGCTTCAAGCTTTTCTGTCTTATGAACTCAACAATGTTTCGGGCAAATTTTCGAATCAGTAATAATACTAATTGGTAGTCGTCAAAAAGAAACAATCAAGAAAAAAAGAGTGAACCAAAATAATACCAACTCACCGCCATGGGAATACCGCCATAATCGGCAACGCCACCCTGTCTGGCAGCGGACGTGGAAAGCTGGCGCGCTCCAGCCGCCAAGCGCACGAGGGACCTCATATCTGGATTAAAGAAATTGTTTCGTAATTAAATGCGAAGGAACCAGCCCAAAGCTTCAATCCAAAAGAAATGGTACACCGCCACAGCCAGTTCGACGAAAAGAAAGACTGACTGCGGCGCTTATGCCGCGATAGAAAATAGTGATGAGATTGAGAGACCAAAGTTTACCGATAAGCCTTCTTCGAAATCCAATGATCAACCTTAGTGACATGTTCGCGTTATTTTGTCATAACTTCGTCGTAGACGTCATTCAAGGTCCATGCAAGAAATTATTTTGAGTTTACATGAATATTAATGAGATTGATATGGATATCCATTTGATATCTGTTTGGCTTCTCTAGGTTCCGATTTCATACCGATAAGATATTTTTTCCCGAGGGATCCGACAGATACTTGTCTGCTTGCTTTTCTGTTGCTATAACCCAGATTGCACCCACTGCCATACACCGCCTTTATATTGTGAGCGGCTGCAGCCTGCAAAATGTAGTTTGTACGTAGTTGCTGATGTAGGTACAATCTATACTACAATCAGGCATTGAAGCATACTGAGGATCAGCCATTTCATCAGCTCATTTTTAGCCAGCGTGCCGTAAGAATCGTGCCTTATCCCCCATTGAGCTTCAACAATTTTGACAAACAATAGGTATACATCGAAATTGAATTGACAGTCCATCGTACACCTTTCAACGACTGAGAAGGGAAGGTCGACCCTTTGGTTTGTATGCACGTATGCATCGCCATAAAAAGGGTTTCCGATGGCGTGAAGATCCCAGGCTGGGATAGAATCTTCATAGCCGTAGGTTTCCTCCCTTCATGATTCGTATGTTTCCGTAAGTCGTAAAGACCATGGTGAAAATATAAATATGTCATGTCATTTCTTTTATCCCTCAGGGTATGTAGGACGAATGATTATAATTGCTGAGAGTTTACTAGGCAACAAGGGAGAAAGATGCGGAGCGGATCGCTTGGTTTTTACCCCAGAGGAAGCAGATGAGAAAAGCGGACAACACGGAACAATTGTAACAGTACATATATTTCATAACACTTTCGCTATTGGTTTTCCTCATCCATAATTACAATAAATTTATAACCCATGCCACTAAATGATCTCCCATCGGCATAGCCTCTAAAACAGCCGATATCAGCGCAGATTGCAAGGACGGGTATCCCCGTTACTCTCCAAATACATTTACCGTATGTAGGGAAAGAACTGAAAGAAGTCAGGTGGAAGTCGGGTCAGGCTTCACACTGCAGCACATGCTGATAAAAACTTCACATCACAGTATGGGTACATGACAAGTGCCCTCGGTGAACGCCCCGCGAAGTCGGCGCTCGGTCAGTGCATACAAGGAACTGGCCGTACGCAGTCAGGGCGCCGGGCCGGCGCCCGGGTCCGGTCGGGACAAGGGACCAGCGCCGGCGAACCGTGCCACCAGCTGCTCCTCGCGCTGCTGGGCGCGCAGTTTGTCCTGCCGACTGCGCTCGGCACGCGCCTCCGTCTGCTCCTTGAGCCGCAGTGAGCGGCGCTGCAACAGGCCCAGCGGTCAGTGCTGCCAGCCAGTCAGTCTTACACACAACAGCTCTTCGTCTTGCGAAACGTCTAAATCACAGCACGTACCCTCGCGCTAAAATAAAGCACCGTTGTCAATTTGCAGCGACGGGAGCATTGTCGTGGAAAATACTTTTGAAATGAACGTTGAGGTATCCAGCATCCACCTTCATAATTTATAAATGAATACTTTCTCAATATTTTACAATAAGCAGCAGCTTCATAGCCGGACCATGCGGACCCAGATTGAAGATGGGCGATTCCTTGGAAACTGGGCGTACCAAGCTATCACTAGCAAATAGCAACGATATCATTACCTTCAGCTTGACGCACCGGTCGTGGATATTGGTCATTTGCTTCTTTATCCTCGTCAATTTCCCTTGGTAAACCCTTACTTGTTGCATCTGTAACATAGGTTGTTATGTTGTTGCTCAAATGTCCGTTGGAAACTATGACAATAGTGATTACAAGCAAAAGTTCGGTTACATTGCAGAGGGGAGCCATGAATTAGAAAAAAATAATTTGAATGAGCCTGGCTATCTGTGCGTCAACACTCAACACAGATACAAGGTAACAACAATCACCAACACCAGAGCCATTGCTGATTCACAAGAAACCTGGATCCCTAGCACGCTAAAGGTCGATTCATTTCGCTACCACTTTCGATTATCCCGACGACTGTCGTCTAGAGTTCTACCGGAAACCCAAGTCCTTTTGATATAGGTATAAAATGTTTTACTGTCCGTGTATTTAGTTCTCCGTCTCACAGGCCCAAATACGGGACAGCTCTTCCACTTCCATCATGCTAAATAGTTTAGGGCGCATACATTCCGAGTCTAGCTCTCGGGACCCGGCGGCGCACCTGAGAACGAAAGTAGGGGACAGGCGGCACTAGGAAATATCGAACTTAGGGCCTCCTAAACCACCAACTAACTGTATCGACTCTTTGGCTGCCGTCTCATTTACAGTTTGGATAAATTTTGGGACTGATGATAGACCATCGTGCGATCTTTCAAGAAGGCAGAGCCTGTTTATCAAAATCCACCATTCCTGTTTCTAGAAAAATAATGATTAATTTTAAAACAGATAAATAGTTGAGTTCTCAAACTGAATGTGCAAATTCATCAAATGTTGAACATGCCAATTCAGATCATCACACTTAGAAGTATGCCAAATAATCACTCATGCAGATCGAAACTTCATCCCCCATCTGGCCATTCCAATTCAAGTGCTGGGATCTATTTTGTTCCTTACCAGTTCAGGTATATTGTAGGTATATTCACATTCCTTGAAACGACTGTTCTCTTGCTCCATAATCTTCAACAGCCGTTCTTGTCCATTCCTGGCAGATATTATTCTGGTCACCTCTAAGCCTAAGGTAGGTATTACCCTGCCTGTATTAGGCATAAGCATTCTAGCACACTCATCGGCAGCATACACAAGCTGTGGCTGCAATGCAATGTTGTGAATGTGAAAATATAAAAAACCAGAAATGAAGAGATATTTATTGCAAACTATCACAACCGTCAATCCCTTTAATATGTAGCATTTGGTGAGGACATGAGCTCATAGACCACCCCCAATTATGACAATAGTTATCCTTATGATAAATTTTATGCTGAGGCATGAAGATAATAACATATTATATTTGTCTATCATCATCAAGCACATTTCTTATGCTTGCCAACCAGACTGGAAAATATCCATACATCACGCCGGACGCCTGTGAGACCCTCTTGCGCCGAAATTCGTCGCAAGCGATTTTGCGCTGCAATTTCTGTGATTTGCGCCAAAAGTTAGGTGCTCAATGCCCATTTGTGCCAAAATTAAGCCCTTTTTATCTAAAGCACATGTGACATGTCATGTGCACATCTACCGATCAAGGCTATATGAACCAGACAGAGTGTTCCGGGGCCTTGTACGCTCTCCCATGTTTGAGCGTCTGAATGAGCTTTTTGATTTCCACGGAAACCCAATACCTCAATAGTCTTAGCGCACTCTAGCTTCATGCCGTGAAACAAAGCTGGAGCCGTGAGTTCCGGGGCCACAAATTTGTGCCGATGTTAATATCGGCGGAGCAGTGTGTTCGAGGCTGGCGGGAGTCAGCGATGGCCGGGCAGTGGGACAGCTAGTGCTCCGGCACATCACCCTCTTCTCGGCACACGGCACTCGGCATACGGGGCACCGCTTGTCTGGGCACTGCTGGCACGCCGCGGAGTGGAGACAGCCGATTCGGTGCCGTATTCGTATTGGAGCGAGCGGCCCCAGTGGCCCGCCCTCATCTCGTGCACCGAAACGGCATCCTCGGTCCTCTCCCGGGATAGGGAGCGGCAGCGTGCTCCCGAGGAGTGGGCTTGAAATGAATAGTGATTCTGAGCAGTTGTCGCGCTCTGCGCCGGACAGTGCGATGCGAGGCCGCACAGTGAACCGCCCTGGTCAGCGAGTGGGCGTTTGAGGGCAGGGCGGCCGCCTGTTTTGCCAAGTCGTCCGCGCTCTCATTCCCCTCGATACCGCAGTGGGCAGGAACCCATTGCGGTATTGCTTAACGACGCTTGGCGATGTTCAACAAGGTCTTCTTTTCCTATCTCCACGCCGAGGGTCCAGCGTACCGCATAAATTCGGTGATCGTATTTCGCCAAAAAATTATGCGACCGCCCTGCACCGAAAAATTCGTCCGCCACCATGCGCTGAATTCGGCGCATGCGAAGTTACGCCGGACGTGCGCTGAAATTTTCGGCGCAATCCCGCACTACGCTGGACATATTCGGCATAACGTGTATTTTTTCCAGTCTGGCCTACATAACTAGTGCCCACCTAAACAACCATAGGTGATTCATAAATTGATTTCAAAAATACTTACAAGAGTTCATTGATGTGGTCTTTGCTTTCTTCCAATGGTGGTTGATATAACGAGACCATACATTTCGCCAAGTCCTCCATATTTGATCCTTTAGCTGTAGCATCTTGACAAGTGTCTACTGGTTTGTTAGATTCTGGAGTCTCCATAATATTGTGGAAAGATGATGTCCACTTATACCTAGGAGAAAAGGCCATATAGTACAATAATTATGTGCACATGAACCCACAGCTATACTCTTAACCAAGGCTATATAAACCCTCTTTGCAATGCCTACATCATGAACATCTTGGACTACAACTGTAATTTGAAAGTTGTCCCTTTGTATATGCTGCTATGCTGCTCTTATCGCTAGGTATGTCTAGGGGATTGTGTCCTTCACTATGTTACTCTATGTGTTGTCTAGGGGTATTAACTACTGTACTGAAAACAAGATCGATGTATGTGTGTGTTTCCTCTTCTTCTAACACTATCCATTCCTCCAGCACACAGACATGAACAAAAAGTAGATATATTGAAATGAGCCGAAAGATGAGACTGAAACCAACAAGTCCGAAAATCAGTCCTGCACGAGCTGCTATCGCACTCGAGCAGGCTGATGAAGAAGCCGGAAGTGCCGAAAGAACAGCCTGCAGCTGCCAAGTCGTGCCAATGGCCTTTCTCGTCAGCTCCACGACAGCAGGCAGGGTGTGCATGTTGAGTGTAGTGTTGGAGAGTGGATGTTGTTGAGTGTGGTGTGGACTGTGTGAGTGTGTCGCTGCTGCGTCTGGCGCCCGTTTTATACCTCTCTGACAGTCGTTTGTCCTTGGTGTGTGCGTTTTTACACCGGTCTTACCGGTCTTGCATAAAGGCGTCAGCTCATTATCAGTTGTTAACTGATCATCCTACATTCAGGTTCTCACGTTCCCTGTCTACCACTACGTGCTTAACCCTCGTCGAGTGTTTTTGTTGTGGTGCAAACGGTGGAGGTCAGCGAGATAGGAACCGCGCGAGCCGCCGCCGGTTGGTCGGCTTTGGCCTCCGGGCCGACTGACGGGGCGCTTCCCGTCGCTGGAAATAATGAGTGTCGCCGATGCCGCTCAGAGTAGACGGAAACGATATTTCTCACATCCCTCCCATTTTTATGGCGAACGAAGAACTGTAACCTTAGGGGGTGAACGGGTATACGTACGTAATAATAGACTTACAGTCTGACTGGGTCAAACCGAGTTTGACTTGTAGACAATGGCAAATGCGGCGTTTTAAACTGTTTTAACTGTTTTGTGCCTTTCGACAAATATGACAATAGTGCAAAATACATAATCACTTTACAGCTTGATAGATAAGAGCACACGACTTTAGCTTCAGCTATAGCATTGCACCATGGTAGTGCTGCTGGATACAAAATCTTGGAAAAAGGCAATCACTGCACCTTTACATTTATATTATTCTGGGAACCACATCTCCTTGCTACTGACCTGTGGACTGTTTCTGGGATGGGAATTTCGTGGTTTACCGGAAACGATTTACAAAGGAGCATGTCGTCGTTCGTGCAATGTAAAGGGTACGCTTGTTAACGATTCCCAATACGGGCGTCGACTTTAAAAACTCACGAGTGATAACGTGATGGGTCCATCCGTCTGCTTTATGGCCGCCACACCTGGAGGAGATAAGTTACAACCGACGGGCAAGTGATCGTTTGCCTCCGTTAGAACAGAAGGATGCGTTTCCGACTTCTGGCAGCACTCAGCATCGAGATGTTGGTCCTAAGGGCTCGGGTGAGGTGTTGAGGCTGAAGTCAATCTGACATGCCGAGAGATTGGTGGTGCTTGTAGACCTTTTGGTATCTCAGATACCTGTGTAGGACGCACTCTGCTGCTGGCTCCAATGACCTGAGGACATTGGGAGGGACCAGACGATGCGAGCATCGCAGCACACGAGCAGTTTGTCCTATTGTCTATGCCGGTTCTATGCCCGCGCATCTTTTGGTCTGCACAGATCCATGTCGCTGGATCTAGTTTCAAGGCAATGCACAAGATTGTTGCTTCACCACAACTTATACCTCGAGCACCAACTGACCCTTATCACGACCTTCATGCATACGCTGAAGCAGATTGTAGCAAACTCGTCTGCTTGACTTTAACAAGTGAGCACATGCCCGTTGGCTTTGATCTTTTGATCTCAAGGGTTGTTCTTACTTTTGTTCGTGACCCGACATCACCGTCGCTGGTCACTCACGAGACGGTGGCGCTCCATGCAGGGTTGGATAAATCCATCAGGACCTCCACTCGGCAGCGCGGTGTCTGTTGCAGACAATACAACGAAAGTCAACCACAGTAACTGGTACACCTTCCATTCAATATGACGTTGACCCTTCGTTCAGCTTTGGGATTGCCAAATGATTCACATGAGTGCTGAACGAGTTCACATAGGATTGCAGGTTCTAACTACATAGGCTTTCGGGTTCATATTTAAATCGTTCCACAGGAAAAGGTGTGGTCAGTTTGCACAGTTGATGCTACTCCAGAATCTTGCTATAAAACATTAACGTAAGTGTTACTCGAAAGTCGAGACAACGAAATCAATCCAATATTTCGTAAATTTTGCATTGTCCCTTACCGTTGCGGTTCTGCTCGGTTTAGCTTTACCGGCAAGACCTTCCCTCGGGACGTCTCGTGCCTCGTACCTGCGCTGAAATCGAAACCTTTCGGCTTCAGTCAGCTCACTTGGTAACTGCTGACGGCCGAATTACTATTTTTCTTTGCCTTGTTATCTCAACTGCAAGACCCACGCAGTAATTCACGATGAAGCAGGACATGAAGCATTTATGTCTATCTTCCTACTCTGGAGATGAGCCACGGGATGGACTCCTGAAGAGTTTTGCACTTGCTATGACTTGCAAAGTGCAGCTAAGCAAGGATTCGAGTCGTACTACCTCCTGCCATGGAATGGAGATAAAACGAGACGAAAACCACTTTCCGTCTTAAACACTATCTTTCCCTCTGCAGTCACCTGAAGTCTACTCACATTTCAACTGTTTGTCGGGTTTGCTGTTTTTGCAACATCTGTGCAACGAAGCACAGCAACCAAGTCACCTTTCTTATCGACGCTGCGGTCATCTTCTGAAACAAGTTAACGTCGATCGGTTTCGCTGCTTCTGCAACACCTGTGCAAACGAAGCAAAGCAACCGAGTCATCTTCCTAAGACACCTGTCTTATCGACACTGTGGTCAATTATCCGACACTGGTCAATTCCTGAAGTACCATTCCTAAAGTAATTATGGTGTTGGTCGGGTTTGCTGCTTCTGCAACACCGGTGCAATGAAACAAGCAACCAATTAATCATCTAACCATCTAACCTTGAATGTGAATCACACCTTTCCGATCGACTGCTGCGACTACCTTCCAAAGTCATTAAGCTGTAAGTCGGGTTGCTGCTCCAGCAACTCCTGAGCAGTGCCAAACAAGTCAACCGAGTCATCCTATCTCGGATATAAAACAACCCACCTTCCTTATCGATGCTGCGGTCACCTCCTGAAGCAAGTAAATTGTTGGTCGGGTTTGCTGCTGGCCTCATCTTTCCTGCAGTCGCCGGAGTGCTCGACTCTCATACTCCGGTAGCAGTGCAGTTGCGGTGGGGTTTGCCGCCTTACACGCTCCATTGGTTCCGTTATCCACATGCCACCTCATTAGCATGGATTGTCGCATGTGCCAGTGACCTGCTGCTCCCGTCACTGCACGCCCAGCCCTTATGCCTAGAGCGTAAGCTGACCGAGAATTTCCACCCATACCCGGCCGGTGTATGTTCGGTGGGCATGGACCCCCAGAGGACCACCCTCTGCCATGCTACTCACTCTGGTAGATAGGTGGGGCAGGCCCTATCACCAGTTCTCCTCAGCTCCTACGCGTCCGGGCCGCGACTGCCGTCCTGCTCCCCGCGAGCAGACGGTCTTGTGACGCCCTCCTCCGAGAGACGTCAGTAGGCTGCCCGTCCTACCTAGCACTCGCCCTTCTCTCAGGGACGTAGGTAGACGGCACGACCTACTCAATTAACGGAAAATCACACTTCTGGCCCAGCATATCATCACCCGCCAAATACCTCGCGTTTATCATTCAGTCAAACTTATTTGAGCCAAAGTGAAGTTAAAATATTGCCATCCAGTGTTGACCGTAAACGTCTAAAACGATATCTTATTTTTACTGCGGGACAAAATATCTAGCATTGAGAGAACTACCTGACCTGAAATCGACTTACCGGAAACCTGTAACATGCTCTGAAAGATGGAAATTCCTGTGTCAAGAAAATGTCAACGAACAAATTGGTTGTACTCTCAAATTTAAATGACATCTCAAGTTATGAAACACTGAGCCAATCTTGTACAATATACTTGGTCAACATCTGTCAACAACTTAGCAATAAGACTCTATCAGCGACCAACCAGGAGAACAATTGAAATCCCACATGAATATCTAATCATGTCAGCGAGGCGTACATCCACTCAGTCCCATTGACACATTGAACTGTGTCAAGGCCATGTCAGGTTATATCAACGGATCTCTGAACTCCGGAAACCTTGATCATGGGACATTTTCTGTAAGATGAATGGTTGTCACCTCCGGCTGTTCCCTCTTGAAAACTCGGAATGGAATCGTATATCTGGGTGGACGATCAGGAGGTTGATCTCCCATAGTTCCTCTGTGGATGGATATTTGCACCCGAACAACGTTGGCTGACCATCCGTGCTGCCGTGCACTGGTCATTGACATCCAACGGCAACAAGACCAGAGTTCAATGACACCAAGTCGGTGTCATCAGAACGTCCAATGACAACGAAGTCAGAGTTAGCTACCTAATGCCAAGTCAGTAACGTCTGAGCGAAAAAATTCATGAAAAAATAAGAACACAAAGCCGATGTTATCAGATCAAACAGATGGACCAGCTCAATGACACCAAGTCGGCATTATATGAGCGCCTTATACGGGCAACTTCTTATTAAAGTTCAATGATACCAAGTCGGTATCATCCGAACACAAAACTCAAGTCTAAGAACCGAATGAATGTAGTCATTGAGCATATCTGGACATTCCTATACAACTCCTATCCAGTTAAATAGTCACTTTTACCTTGCCAACGATGCGAACGAATTAATTTACGATGCATACGACCGAATAACTCGAAAGGACAAGTATCAGCAGAAGGTAAAGTAAGTAGACCCGCAGAAGTAAGACTAACCTGAATCGAATAAACTTCCAGAGATGCAGCGACCTCGACGATGCATCCAATGGAGACTGCCAATGCCGCATGCAGACCAAGAATTGGGCTGGCGAACCTAGTAGAGTCTGGAACTCGAGCCATTCGCCATCAAATAAAGGTAACTGGAAACAAGGCCATCTATAGACTGGAAATGGAAATACACAAATTTGACCAGTCAATGGGGATGTTCGCGCTAAGAGTTCCGAAAAGTCTCGCCAGGTGGCAGCACGGTATGCTTTGGACACAACGCGCCGGCCGGGCGCCGGCCGGGCCGGGGATAACACTGCGGGCGGCGACGGCGGCCGACGCGCCGCGAACGGAAACTGCGTTTCATGTCTTTTTCAGGTTCATCATTTTGCTAAAATGAGTAGCTACAGTTGATTTCGATATTAGGAAGACAATGACGCGTGTGAAAGGCAAACTACTACATCGTCATTGAGCGGAAGGAAAGGGAGCTGATCGAATGGTCACCAAAAGCTACGGAGTACGAAAGATACGATGTTATCACATATTTTAACTTAAACAGTTGAAATTAAAAACCTTATTACATTCAGACATATATTCACACGCATGAAACAATCGATTTGCAGCACCCATTCCATGACAAGAACGCATACCTACGGTCTTAAGTTGACCTCTAGCGCTCGTCACTGTCAGATAAGTCAATCACATCCCTGTAGTTTGTACAAACTATTGACTTAACCCTTCATCCGGCATGTGTTCATTCTGTAATGATGGGCAACGAATCACCGGCGATTTCTGCGTGGCTCTATATGACATCCTCGTCCGTTCCCCAGGTCAACTGGTTCGGTGACTTTCAAATTATAGCAGGCCCTTCCTCGGTCAGGCTTGATGGATCCACCGTCACTTTGCGCGGTACTTTTAAGATAGACTGTACCTTCTACCAACACGACTGACTGATTACAATCTGATTACAAGCTTGGCTTGTAATGGGCACAAACTTGTAATAAAGAGGTACTTAATTAACAAATCCACAATGTTCTGTTCTGGCAAGTAGCCTTCACATATGAAGCATTTGCTATGACTACTCTTCTAGAGCTGATTGATAGCTTTTGAAGGAAGGAGCTGAGTGGCTGAGCCCTATCATTCACCACTTAATACTTATCACCTTCAACAATTGCTAAAGGCATGCAGTTCTCTATCACTAGAAAATATCTGACAATTTGCTGGCTCTCATTTGTGTATGATGCAACACGCCTTGCATCAGTGATACTATGACACGAAATGTTGAACACTAGCATAGGTTGCAATGTAGATCCAGGGTGTCCCAGAAGCCAGAGCAAAAATTGACACCTTAATCAACTTCATGATTGTGGCAAAACTCTACTGCTTGACTACACAGAGCACCAACTGTTTGCTCCTCTAAACTTTCACCAAAGGAAGTGTTGCTGATGCCATTTGTAGCAGCAGTGACACTGGTAACTTCAAATCACAGGATCTGGTAGCATCCATGCTCTTGAATCTGGATCTTATCAATGCAGCATTGCACCTGTGAATAAATGAAAAATGGCATAAGACAGTAGGGAAAGATCTTGGCAAGTCATAATGAGATGCATATGTTTAACATGCATGGATAAAAGGACATTATATACTGAAGCAATTAGCAAAACATTGCAGTTTAAGCACAGTTGAAATCTGATATGATGAACTGGATACAGTGACATCATCAAGACCCATGAACTTTACACAAAGTAGGTATTTGCAATTTTGAAATGCACTTTTATTGCAATTACCTATGCAAATATTCTAGGTGAAAATTTATTTTAAAAAAAAAACAGCAAAAACTTGCCCGTATTTAGTTGCTAAAAAAGCTGAGTGAATATTCTAAAATAGTGTTCACTTCAGTGTGAATCAAAACATAGAGTTAATAATTATTTACCTGGTGAAATGAAGATATTATATCAATAACAATAATGAGTAGCTTTAGGTGGTGATGAGTTAAAAAAAAAAACATTTCGCAAGAAAGGCTATCAGATACTTCTGGATGATATACTGCAGTGCACAAGCTGTTCAACAACTCCTACCTGGTCTTTCAGTGGGATCCTTCTGTATGCACCTCAGAACTTCATCCGCAGGGCTGGTTCCTTCATACGCAGGTCCTCTGCCTTCCTTGATTCCTCGGACTCCATCCTGACAACTCCGCACCAGAAGCATGATTGCGCTGGGCACCTGTAACACCATGTAGGATGATCAATACTTGTAACAATTCATAAATAGTAGGTAGCTTAGTGTTCTATTACATATACCTCCTGGTTGCTGGTGAAAAATAGATCCTATTTGTCTTTTTCCATCATAACCTTTATCTGCATGCAATATCTTTGGTACCAGACAAAGTAGAACACTGCTAAAATGCTTGCAATGAATCTTATAAAAATGCATTAAATTTATATAATCATTCTCAGCAGCATGTATCATCTTTTAATGCCTTTCTCAAAGGGCAGGTCGATTTCCTATATCAGTAGGCGGAACTATGGTCATGAGTACCCAAATATAGGAACGTTCCCATTTTTGGGAACGGAGTTCCCAAATATGGGAACGGGCGTTCCCATTTATGGGAACGGAAGGTAATTTTTCGGCCGTTCGCCCACTAAAACTCAATAGTGCATCACGTCTCAAAAAAGTGCACGCTAATTTAAGTATCTACTAAGTCTCTATAAAATTATCTTTAATCTGACCGTTGCACAAGGAAATTGACCGTCGAATGATATTTTTAATGATTTTTTGAAATGACGGAATGGTGAAAACATGGGTTATACTACATTTAACTTGCAATTTTTAGGAAAATGAAGCGTTTTTTACATTTTGAGGTCAAGTATAATAATTTTCGCCTGGTTATGAAGTTTCATACTAGCGACACCAGATGCTGACATATGCAAGCGAACACGCGGACAGTCCGGGGGTAATATTGGTGACATTTGGTGTCGGGGCGCACGACCGCATGGAACGTCAGTGATTTTACCGAACTACTGTTGTAAACTCAGTTTCAGTGGTTTAAAATTATTCAGCTGTATTATATCATCCCAGATAGACATATTTTATTTGGATGCTAGCTGTTTAGAGTTGTTTTATAAGGAGCGTCATGAGCGTGGTTTTTGTCTTCCGTGTTCCTAAGCGTGATCGTTTTGGGGGAATTTCTCTTATATAGGTCGCTCTGTGTGGCTTATTTATAATTTTTATGCTGATTTCGATCATTCCTCGTACCCATCCTACCAGGCCTTTTGCCACTTACACTCATCAAGAAAGGAAAAAACTAGATTTTCATTGGGACTAGGTGTTTTGAGGGTGTAACATATTCAGCGTTCCCATTTTTGGATACTTCCTTGTGCACGTCAACTATCGGTGATAAACAGACAGGTGCTTGACATGTCTCCACCCTCGGCGCGGACGGTGGATATAGGTATGGAAGACCTTGTTGAACATCGCTGAGCGTTGTGAATTACGTAATCCTGCAGAGGGGGGCGTGCCCGCTGCGAGATCGACGGGAATAAAAGCGCAGAAGACCGGGCGAAACATGCGACGGTCTTGCCGGAAAGGTCATCTGATGATTGTTGCGTTAACAATAATTTGCGGCGTTGGACGTGATGCTTGTTAATGAAAAGAGCCCCTGAAAGGCGTCGGTGAAATCGTTCCCAATTTTGGGTACGCCGTTCCCATAATAAGGAACGCTTGCAGCGCCAGTGTACGAGAGCGTTCCCAAATTTGGGCTCGCGGCCCGGATGATGGACTGCTTTAGAAATAGGGGAACGATTTGAAACTACGATGGGCCTTACAATATCAAACTCTTTCCCAACAATATTGAGACAAATATCAGGTGGTTCACGATCGTTTTATATTTTTTGGACGTCATTTAACGGTTCTTTTTCTTGTTTTAAATAATGCCTACATGGCGTTCCCATATTTGGGTTTATCGTTCCCAAACATGGGAACGAAAATGCGTTCCCGAAAATGGGTACGCTTGACCATAGTTCCGCCTACTGATATTGATTTGATATGCCCATAAACTTATACAGGTAAATTACTTCATATGGACAATACAAGATCCAGCTATGAGTTAGGTTAGACTATTTTATACTCTTAGTTATGCTCGCCATAAAAAAAATGTCGGGAAACGTGTTACATCGATGGAATTACCGTTTGGAGTCGGTCTATCTTCGGCTTCTCGCCTCCCTTCGGCTCCGTCAATAGAAGCCTTTCTAAGTCTCCTGTCCTTTGTAAACCTGCCTTTCCATGTTTGTGACACGTCTTGCTGAATATAAATTTTCAACCCATCTGAGCAAAATTCAAATCAATTGCTATCAAATTCACCGAAATTCAGTCCCTCGGACCGACACCGCACGGACTCCACACAGTGCAAAACACAGTGGCGCATTCGCCGCCACAGTTTCTGTGTCCAAAGAAGGCAGTGCTGCCACCTGGTGAGGAAATAAGCCGAACATCCCCATTCATGTTTCACGAACGAAATATATACCGGGGTTACATGAGCAAGTAAATGCGTATCAGGAACGGATTTTCCTATTCGCTCACCATTGTAGTCCGTTTGTAATGCGTATTAACTCTGCTCATGTAACCCCGAGCATAGAAAGCTTACGGACTACAAGAAGTACCAAGTCAGTCATCAACGAAGATCAACGAGTCAGCCTGGAACAACAAAGAACATGAAAACTTCACAAACGAGAACATGCAGTGAATCAGAAGCATATATAATCAGGGTCCTGTTCGAGCAGAACAGAGTTTGAGATCCCGGCTGAGCCCCCAATGTAATTTGAAAGTTGTCCCTTTGTATATGCTGCTATGCTGCTCTTATCGCTAGGTATGTCTAGGGGATTGTGTCCTTCACTATGTTACTCTATGTGTTGTCTAGGGGTATTAACTACTGTACTGAAAACAAGATCGATGTATGTGTGTGTTTCCTCTTCTTCTAACACTATCCATTCCTCCAGCACACAGACATGAACAAAAAGTAGATATATTGAAATGAGCCGAAAGATGAGACTGAAACCAACAAGTCCGAAAATCAGTCCTGCACGAGCTGCTATCGCACTCGAGCAGGCTGATGAAGAAGCCGGAAGTGCCGAAAGAACAGCCTGCAGCTGCCAAGTCGTGCCAATGGCCTTTCTCGTCAGCTCCACGACAGCAGGCAGGGTGTGCATGTCGAGTGTAGTGTTGGAGAGTGGATGTTGTTGAGTGTGGTGTGGACTGTGAGTGTGTCGCTGCTGCGTCTGGCGCCCGTTTTATACCTCTCTGACAGTCGTTTGTCCTTGGTGTGTGCGTTTTTACACCGGTCTTACCGGTCTTGCATAAAGGCGTCAGCTCATTATCAGTTGTTAACTGATCATCCTACATTCAGGTTCTCACGTTCCCTGTCTACCACTACGTGCTTAACCCTCGTCGAGTGTTTTTGTTGTGGTGCAAACGGTGGAGGTCAGCGAGATAGGAACCGCGCGAGCCGCCGCCGGTTGGTCGGCTTTGGCCTCCGGGCCGACTGACGTCGCTGGAAATAATCCCGGCCTCGAAATGAGAACCTGGGCGCATGCGCGTGTATCGCATCTAGGCCAATTTTATTGTCAAGAAGAGGGAGATAGGTAATTATGGAACGTTTCTAAAGCTGTATTTGTATTTTGACGGTCTGTGGCTAAGGTAGGTGTTATGAATTTATGTTTTTAATGAATGTGCTGGTTCGTTTGCTTGCTGGCTGCTCTTACTTACCTACTTTCTTGCTCTTTCGTTTTGATTTTTTCCCTGCTAAATTTCTACCTGATAAGGCATTTATAAATATGCAATATATTTATACTTGTCTCTAATTTCCATTTAATGCCAGTGCATGGAAATACTGGGTGCTTATATGTATTCAATAATATTGCTGCAGTTCTGTATTACCTATTGAATGAAATGAAATAGGCTGTTTATTCTATTAAAAATACATATAGGTATTTGTGTGCAGGCTGTGGCGGTATTGGTAAAGCTGGCGTCTCTGTCGACGCTAGCCGGCGAATGTGTCAATTTAATTTATGTTTTATACTGGGTATAATAAAACATCTAACCTGACCTAACCTTACCTACAAACTTACAACCTACCAACCTACATACCTACACCTTACCTACCTACCTGCCTTCCTATTGCTGACCGTGACGCCAGCGTAACCAATACCGCTATGTCCAGCATCTTGCTCTGAAATCTGATTTAGATTAAGGAAACTGCCTATCAATATAGGAAAATGATAAAGAAGAACTTTTGTAGATTGATTATGCTGTTCTTGTTCCATCTTTCTGAACTCGCCTGTGGTTTGTGGACTCTTAAAACGCAGTAGATGCGTCAGTGTATTTCCCTTTGTTGGACATCTGTTGCAGGTTAGTTTCTGGCTTGAAAAAGTATTAAATTGTGTGTTGTCTGTATTTATATTAATATGCATCAACAAGTATTTTTGTCTTCTTCTATTCCAGGCTGGAGAGTGGTGAAGAATAATCCTCCAACAGAAATGTCTGCAAGATTGTTCAAAACATTGTTTTCTTTTTTATTTTGATTTAAGACTCTTCAATTGACATAATTACAGGAAATAGATGTTCATTAAATGAATCAAGCCATGAGTTTGGGAAGTGAACTACTATAGAGTGATCAGTGAATGGATATGTTGGACTTTGTGCATAGTTGTGCGAAGTGGTGAAGTAACTTGGCTTGAATTTAGATTCATCCCTACTCTCCTAATTTCTAAAAAGTTCTTAAATTTTCTTCCAGATTGTACTGTGTTCACGTTGCAAGGATGGATTGCGAGTTGGTTGGATTAGTGGAAACATTTGCCTACAAAGTGTTGCATGTTGTTAAGCACTGCTGGCAATGCTTATGGTATGTGCTGTGTTGGACTTTGTGCATAGTTGTGCGAAGTGTTGAAGCAACGTTGCTTAAATTCAGACTCATCCCTAGTCTGCTAATTTTTCAAAAGGTTTAAGTTTCTTCAATTTTCTTCCTGTTTGTACTGTGTTCATGTTCGAAGGATGGGTTGTGAGCTGGTTGGATTAGTGGAAACATTTGCCTGCAGAGTGTTGCATGTTGTTTAGCACTAGTATTATTTGCTAGCAGTGCCTATGGTTAATTGTTGCTTGTGCAATTTCAGAAAAAAATATATAGAACTTGATTAATTATATCTACATGTTTGGTGCATGTGTACATGTAAGGTGAGAACCAAGATGGAAAGGTCAGGACCCAACAGCTTACTTTTTAAGATATTCAATTAGAGCACATGGCAGTTGGAGTCACTCAGCTGAAAAGGGTTCATGAAAATCATTTGGACATGTAATATGTATGCTTTCAAACCAAACTGGGGCCAGCAAAGAGCACCAGCCGACTGGCCAGGGTCAAGATCTAGCTGAGGTTGGGGGAGCAGCAACAAACTTCGCTGCTCAGAGCAGGTGGTAGGTACTCTTCAATTCATTCCACGTGTTACACTGCTTAGAAATGGGGTATATTCAGAGGATAATTCTGCATTCTCCTTCATCCACCAGTAGCCAAAGGCCCGCAGTAGTCCAGGGACCTCAGTTTTCGACCCATGTTTGAGGTCCCAGCACAGCCATACGGACCCCAGTCCCTAGAAGTCACAGCCAAGCATGCTGAACGAAGATTAGAGATGCAGGTTGCCGTGTGTTAATGGTGCATTGTGAGTTTCCGTGTATAACGGGAGATTTGACGTTGTCGTGGCTTATACGACGTTCATTTATTAGTAGAATTAATGAATTGTTCGCATCTGAACGCCAAAATTTGGCCTTATAGGTATTACAGACGGCAAAACAGTTACCGCGTTATGCATCTCTAATAGGAAAGTTGCCTGATTTGGTGTATATAGTCTGAAGTTAGTTTTACGAATAGTAGGAAATACATGCTAATGTTTTCGCTTTTTTCCTTATGATTTATCGAGTAAAAATGATATTTTAGAATATGATTTCATCTGTAAACACTCGTTTGCACAATATTGATGCGTATTTTGTTTGCATTTCACTTTTATTTTGAATAATATAGGAGGAACTGAACACAACTAAGTTTAGACTAGATTTCTTCCTACTGAAACGGGCCTCGCTGGCCCTCTAGAGGGCTTAGCTGGCCCGGTCAGGTTTATGCCGTTGTGAACCCGGCTATTAATGAGTGTCGCCGATGCCGCTCAGAGTAGACGGAAACGATATTTCTCACACAACACCAACACTTCACATCACATTGCCAGGCATTGCTCGCCATATGTCACCAGCAGAGATAACGGCAGCGCGGAAGCCAAATGGATGTGTATTTGAGCTTATACTGATACTAGGCATTCAAAGCTAGTTCATCAAAATGTATTTGAATCTCATAAAAATAAAAATATCAAGTCAAAGTCTATGACTCTCTTCGCTTTTTTCACACTTTGTTCACAAATGTTTACTTTTGATCGGAATGTCGCACATGCGCCATTAGCGTATACAACAAATAAAAATGTCCGTGAAGACCGAAGATCAACGCAATGCTCGTTTATGAAAATTTAGATTTATTCATTTTTCATCACTGAATCACTAATGGCAATATATTTCACATACGGAAGAAATTTGGAATTTTGATTTGTCTCATAGCGTACAGGGCTTAAAAATCTTGATATCGATAAGGGCAAGTGCTTGGGCAAGTGTAAACAAATCAAGGTTATTCAATTGTTTTCGTCGTGAAATTCTACCCAAAGTCAGAGGGTCAGGTTTGCATGTGTTTCATAAATTGATCTTTTTCGATCAAACACGTACTAGTTTGATTAAATGAGTGTCACGATCACGTTATTTGCCTAAAAGCACCAAGAAAACATGTGCCATATGCTGTGAATGTCTCAGTCTGTTTGCATTGGGAGATGTGCTCTTACGGGTCACCGGATTTACCTGACCCCTATATGGATGACACTCACTCGTGTAGTGGTTATATGAAGGATTGTGCACAGTGTAAACAAATTGTAATCCTACTGAAAGTCAGCTTCAAGGTGTTTGGCATGGCCTAGGACCTGTGACCTCAAAGTTGAACTTTCAAATACTTGAAATATGTATGTATGTATGTATGTATTGACGATCAAGAGCAATCCACAATCGGCGTGGCGATTACACTCCCAGCAATACCCCAGCAACTGCCTAGTGCTTGGCTGATGTTTAACAAACTTTGATAATATCAGTCCTAGCTTTATTCTGGTGCCCAAGGACCAGTGGCAATGTCTGATGAACCTGACTCTGGGTCAAAGCAGAGGACTCGTTCCATGCACTGAGAGTGAGACCTTTCTAACCCTTGCCCTTGGTAAAAACAAGGGCACAAAGTCTGGTTGATCTATAGTTAATGTTGGTACTAGGTACCAACTCTAAGAGCAAATGATCCAATTCACGTAGCCATGCTTTTGACAGGAGCTGCGCATATGCACACTTATATCAATAGACCTTTTGCAGGCAAAGACCCCAATTGTCATATGCAAGGCAGTCTGCCAGACTCACCCGCCCCAACAACTTACAAAATTTTAGCACAATTAGCCCAACCACACCACGAGATGTGGAGATGGCATTTATCTAGAGGGGAGGGGACTCATAAGGGATGTTTGATGGTCATTATTGGTATTTCAATTTGTGATCCAGTAGAACACCCAATTACCCACTGAGCTGAATACAGACCAGACCATAGTCATTAGTCAATTCTGATGACATGGCCAAAGCTATAGTCAGCTGCACTGAATTGTGAATTTCAATGTGAATTTCTCATTGATTGGTAAATGTTTCCTGGTCAATAATGGTATCTTCTTTGTTCATTACAGGTTTTCACAATGTTTACTGATTTGGTGGACCTGCTTCACACAGACACAGTCCAGGGCCATTTTTTGGCCGTCACCGAGCAGCCGCCCGCTGACGCCAGTTTCGTGCTGTGCCACCTCATCAACCGAGCGCTGCGCGCGGGAGGCGCCGTGCGCGTACTGGCGCTGGACAAGCCGCCCGCGCACTACCGGCACCTGTGCGCCAAGTGCGGCGCCGACGTGCGCCAGGCGGAGGCGGCCGGCGCGCTGACCTTTGTGGACGGCGCGCAGCTGACGGCGCGGGCGCTGCGCTCAGACTCGGGCGCGCTGACAGCCGGCGGGCCGCTGCCGGTGCGGGCCGTGTTCGACCAGCTGACCGGCAGCGCTGACCGCAGCGCCTCCCTGCTGGTGCTGGACAACCTGTCGGCGCTGGCGGCGCTCGGCTGTCGACCCGCCGACCTCCTGCTGCTGGTGCACAACCTGCAGCGCTGGTGCCGCCGGCGGGACGCCGCGCTGGCCACGCTCACCTCTCGGGACGCCGACGACCGGACTCTGTGTCAGCTGGCGGCGGCGGTGGCGGGCAGCGCCGACCTCGCCGTCACAGTGCGCGGCCTCAGCTCGGGTCACTGCGCAGAGGTCACGGGCGAGCTGGAGCTGCGGCGGCCCGGCGAGGCCGCGCTGCTCAGGCAGTTCAAGGCAGAGGACAGGAACGTGCGTGT